CTGCGACAACGAGGTCTACCCGCTTCTATAAATCGAAAGGAGACTGCGACCATACCAGAGGCCACAACATCATGGTCTTCATATCTTCAATTACTACATGAATTCAATACTATCATTGGCATTTTTAAAGAGCCATATTGTTTGATCTGTGAAACTTTGTCTTATTACGCATCGTAACAGTTCAACATCAAACTTACTGTACTTGCCTACACTTGAGTCATGGCAGATATATACCTTGTGGAGCCCAGATGTACCAAGAGGCACTATACATGCACTATTCACTAAATGGAAAATTACTGATCTTGTATGTGCATTCATTGGTATATTCAAATAAGATCACAGGTCGCATATACGTATAAAAAGCGTTTTTTTGCAAATCGCCTGAAATAACCTTGATGTGGCGACTTTCATTCCGTATGTAAGGGCATGATAAAAGTATTTCCTGGTTGATCTTACCAGAGGAAGACGGCTGAACCCTGTTGTACTGCAGTCGTCTTCTTGAGACTTTTGCAGGAATGAGTCCAAGATCTGATTATATTTGTCATATGACAGACGAAAGCTCAGTCCGTTTTCACCCGAAACCAAGTAGGATTTCTCGTAGACAGCGTCAACATAAACGTCATATTAAATCCAAAATGGTTGCAACACAGCAGGAATCAGCCATCGTCTTCTGGTAAGATTGACCTACGAATCTCTTCAGCATGCAATTTCATATGAAATGAAAGTATCCTCAAAGTGGTCATTGGTCCTAACTGAAGCTGCTTCGGCTATCGCCAAACCAAATCGAGCTGCTATCAGAACAACTTCCAAGAATAGATTTTAAAAAGGAGACTTTTTAACTCTTTAAATGTAATATATGTGAAAAAATTTGGGTTTCGAGGAATCTCTTGTTTCGTCACAACCAAATTCAAGATAACGTGTCATCGGTAAATCCCTAAAAAGTTGTATATATATTCTGCATCTGACCTCTTTGATCAAGTATAAAGTTATTTGGTTAGTTAAGGTCATATGTTAACTTCGATGCATGTGAGTGTGTCTATCTCTGTATTTGTATGTGCCTGTTTGTGTTCGCTTAGCATGAAACCCGAAAAGATGATTCAAAGTAATTAGGACAGCAAGAAGGAACGACGATGATACCTTTCTCTGATGATGTTTTTCATATGGCGGACGAAAACTTAGCACCTTTAACCGATATCGAAGGAGATTGCCTCGGAAACAGCGTCAGCATTAATCTTTCAGTAAAGCCAATCGACAGCTGGTCGAGAGGAATCCGCCGTCGTCTTCTGGTGGAGCCGATCTTCGAATCTCTTCACCTAACACTTTCACTCTAAATGGAAACAAGCTCTTCGAATGTAGCCAAATAGATTTCGACATCCTGATCAAAATCACCAAATTAGACCAGTTTTCTGAGGCTTGAGAAACCTAGAAACGACTTCATAAAAGTGGTCACTGGTGTCAAGACTAGGAGTCCTGTCAATATGGGGCATTGTTTTGTAGTAATACAGAAAAGTAGAGAATCGCTCTACCTTGACCTGAGGTAAAGGCTTAATTTTGCATTTACTTCAATATATGATGCACCCACGAGGAATTCCTAGTTTACGCTTGTCCCAGCTTCAGTGGTATTTGAAACATTGATGCGTGGCATCACAGACGAATTCGTCAACCCTTTGGCCAGACTGCCTCAACCTGTTAAGTAAGAAGTTCGCTGTAGAACAAGTCTCTATTACTTCACATAATTGTTGGGGAATCTTGTATCGACAGAGAATCGTCTATTTTGCTTAGAATGGATATGTTTTTGAAATTGTGATAGTGGAGCTAATGATGTAGCATATTTACCTTTAAACACATATTTCGAATACCTCCCAAATTGTTGGTTAAGATAGGCTGAAACCATGAAAGAGCCGAGCTAGAGGCTGTCTTTTTTTATGCATGTTGCCTAGAAATTTATGACAGAATCAAGATTCTATTCAATTCATTTTCCTTTTATTACGAGAAGATGGATTACGAAGAATCCTTTAATAGGTTGATACCAGCTTACCTTTCATTTCGTTTGAGAGGGCGGGTCGAAGGAATCAGTAGATTGGCTTTACCGATACCGTAGGAGGGTCGCCTTGGAATTTTATTTGTTGAACTGTGCGAAGAAAACCTCGGCTCACCGTCCTACAACCCCAATGACTCCGTGCTAAGCAGGTTGGAGCATGTTTTTGAACCTAAATTTGTCATCCAACTCGGGGCTGTTGCATAAATACGCAAACACGCATCCACGAATCTGTGCAAGACCCAGGACTACTGGATCATACGCTAGTTTATTTACGTAGAAAATGTTGCGAACATATCCGCTTCCCTGCCTTCATCACTTTGGCACACTTATCTAAATTTAGGACAAGCATACGTCAGCCAACCAAATCATGGAAGTCCTGATTAAGATTGCAAAGTGATGTATAAGAAATAAGGAGGATCTCAGCTGGCCACCTTTCCTGGTCTTGCGTTTTTTAATGATTTTTTTGTAAATAATGGTTTATGGCTCTGACGATGTCCGTCACAGGACGGAGGAAAGATCAACACAGAGTCATCGGGGTCGTAGGACGGTGAGCCGAGGTTTTCTTCGTCTAGTTCAACGGACAAAAGTCCAAGTTAACCCTTCTGTAGTATCCGGTGAGGCAAATCTACGAATCCCTTTGATCCGCCTTCTCAAACGAAATAAAATGAACGCCAGTATCATCTTCTTTATTATGGCCATCACTTCCTATAGCAGCATATTAAGGTTGTGCATAGTGGCAAGAACCTACTGTGTGCTGGTAACGTCTCTTAGAGAAGAGATGTAAAATTTGGCTGCTGTGAGTTTAATCACCAAAAGGATGCGAACTATTGTTCAGAACATCTCTCGTGTCACGATTCAGCATCTAGCCTAGTCTTGTCACGAAGTTTAGTGTTGACAGTATCATTTTTCACACTTCTACCAGGCACTTTGGCTACCGAGCAAACGAGATTATTATGCGTAAGAACATGGCAAAACATTGTATAAACAAGATAGTATTGTTGCTATGGCTCTCAATTATTATAAAAAAGCTTAATGAGTGAAGTTGGTCGATCACACAAGAGGACGATGGCATATTCCTCTTGAGCCGTAATCATTAAATTATAGCATGACGGTAATTTTTACACTGTTTACAAAGCATCTTCCTTCAGTTCCGGTTAAATCAGCCTGGACATTCTTCTGTCATGACATTTAACCGACACCTAATTAGGCATCAAGTTAACACGAAGTCAAGAAGGTCCTTCCTTGTATGCTCTATTTCCTCACGATAACTACAAAAAAGCAAGGAATAAAAAGGGATATAGTACTGTGTGAGCTTAGATTATATGCCTCAGGATAGATAGGATTCTGAGCCACCAACAAAAGAAGGCGGCTCAAATTTCCTTTCAGAGATTCTGCTTTATACGCTCTTGTTAAGCACACTAATTCAACAGGACGTGCGTTGTACCCTTACTTGTATCATTAAACCTTGAAGATCGGGAAATGGCAGTGTTAGGATCGGCATTTTTGTACCAGGACGTGCACAAGCTGACGATCACATAAAAGCCGACTTACTCAGATCTATTTGAAAAGGAACTAAAAAAATTTTTAAATATCTCTTTTGTTTCAGCTCTTTTTTTCATTTGTTCTGAGTAGGCATAGAAACGAAGCAATAGCCAATAGGCTCTCTTGACTTTGTGTTAACATGAGGCCGTTGTAAGAACGAGATCAACTTCTGGCGATGTCTGTCAAGTGGCCTGACAGACGAAAGCTCAGTCTCTTTTGATCAGACCGGAAAAAATATTTTGTGGACCTCATCTTTGTAAACTTTATAGCAATAGGAATCTGACATCGTATTCAGGCTAGACTGACAGGCAAATTTTGTCATCAGGAAATTTCACATGAAATCAAAGTTAGTACAGCAAAACATATGTGCTTAAGCTTTGCAGTATATTTCTACATTTTATAAGAGCAAATTTGTCATCACAGAGACGAATAGTAATGAAATTCCAGAAGACTCATCAGGAGCGATGAAATCTATTCCTTATCTTAACTTCAATTGTGTATTCAAGCGTTTAAATATGAAGTGTCAAGCAGCTTTCAACATTCTTCCTTCACTATACCCATCATATGCATTGTTCCTTTCTGCCATTTCAGAATTCACTTGATTCGTATGAACAGGTTGACCCCAATCAGAACCCGGGCCCATTTGACAATGACTTCCAACAGGAAGGCATGCTATCGGACTCTGAGGATACCAGTGATGTGAATTCTTCTTGTACAAACTCCTTGCAGACTAACCCCTTGCACATTCAGCCTTTCCAGTCTCCCAATGACCGGCTGGTAGAATCAGAATCAGAAGGACATCAAGCAACACCTCCAAGTGTATCGCGTAGAGATCGTGAAAAGAAGCTATTCCAGGCGGGCAGAGACTTCATCAAATCGGTCCAAGGGGCAAACCAATCAAGCTTATCCCACCATCAGTTGCGCAAGCAAAAAGCCCAGACACTGCGCATGCTGAGGCAGCAGCCCATGAAAATGACCAGCAACTCAGCTGTCAAGGATATGGTCATCTTTTCAGTTGACTCGCCTACCTTTTCTGTATCGCTTGATGCCTCTCGTTCTCCGACCTACAGCCTGTCTGGGCTGGATCATGGTACCTGCGTGGAGAAAACAATGGAACGACGATTGCGAAATAACGAGGCTTCTCGTCGTTCTAGGGCGGCAAAAAAATCGCGCTTCGCTGCAATGGAGCGTGAAGCCGAACAGCTGGCTTGGCAAAATCAGCGTCTTCGAATTCGGCTGAAACAGTTGAATCTGGCCGCTGCCGAGGCTAAGGAATTACTGGTTGGCAAAGTGTCCTTGTTAAGTACGAGCAATGGAACAGTCAAGTCAGAGGCTTGAACGGTGCAGATTCCATCAACTGTTATCAAGTCTCAATATCCTATAATTTTGGTACAGAAATTGCCTTATCCTTTTCAGACCAGATAGGTGAATGTGTATCTATGTCTACACTGCGATCTTCATGACCCACTTGGGCCATGGACTACAAAGAAATAGATGAGTTAAGTCATTAGGCATCCCGAGAACTGTAGCTTTAACTCTGTTTTTGGAATGCTGCTCACACCACAATATTTTAACCCGTCCTCCCTCCGTCAAGTCCGCCCTCTGCTAAGCCGACTTTATGTGGAGCTTATGTGGGTGAACATAAAACACATGAGCACGCACGAGCTTAAGCAGGCAAGTAGAACTTTTGAAATTATCATAAGTCAACTTATTTGAAAAAAAGAATGATATCTCTCATTCTATTCTTCATCTTTAACTTTGTACAAAAAGTATAGCCCCAGAAAAATTTTAGTTTTGTTCGCATTACTCACAGATCAAATAACCCAAACCCCTTCGCCGATATTGCTCCTCATCTACTATTTATCAAGGCGGCCAGTAAAGCTTTTCGGATGTAACTACTTAACCCTGGATGTAGCGGATTCATTTTGCCAATCTTCATTCCTAAGTGCAACCATTACATTTGGTCGTTGGAGAAAAAGCGATTATTCAGACCGAGTAGGACATTTTTCGCCTGATGCCTTGCTGGGGCAAGTTGATATGTCTTTGTTGTAATACAATATTTAACATGGAATTTGACGGCCAACCTTGTGGAAAAAATATAAGTTTGACTGAATACTTTTATTTTTTGGTCGTTTTTATATTGTTCTGAGTTAGGCTGCGTATGACAAAAGGGAGTGACTTTCGATCTTAAGCCTAAAATGTGTTAACAATGCTTTATATTAGCCAATGTCTAAGTGTAAGGCACACCATCATTGCGCCACCACAGAGAACCTCAGCACAGAGAAAGTGTCGGATAATTCTGCCAAACGAAATAAATCGTTAATTGGTCTGTGATGCGCTTTTGAGCACATGAACCAGAACCAGCTTTTATCTTATGGATTCTGCTGCAGGTCTTACATATACCGGTCCTTATTGCAACCTTTCATCCCGCAGAATTCAGAAGATTTCAAGGCACATAATCGTTTCGGATACTGCACCTCTCCGACAGTATTTATAGGAAAGGTTTTTAAGATATCTCGCATCTAAACCTTTGCGGCAATTAGCCTACAGATAGGAAGGCCGTAGAGTATGCAGATAAGAGTGAAGCAAAGAAGCACTAGAAGCACGCCAGGCAAATGCACACAGTTACCCAAGAATGTTTACCTTTTGTATGAGTCCATGTTAAACACTCATTTAAACTGGTCTAGATGCACAAATTATTTATTTGCTCAATATATGTTAGCTGACTCTGACTGCTATAAACAGATCAAAAATTTGGTTCAACCCAGCAAGCAAGGATAGATGAGCATATTGGCTGATAATACTAATTAAATACGAGCTTTCATGATAGTTTGGTTTATGGCATTGTTGGTAAAGGCCTCAACTCTCTCATGTAAAATACTCAAGTTGCACGAGCAATCCTCACAATCTTCCTCATCCCAAGCTAGAGGAAAAGGACCTTTCATGCTCCGAACCCCTGGGTGTGTTAATAAGAAATAGTCAAGATTAAAACTCCAATCCATTCTTGGTAAAATCGGCCTATGTAATAAATGATGCAGCTAAATTAAATTTAAAAAGCAAAGCTTCATTTCGATTTCCTATTAGCAAGGTCGCTATCAATTCAATCTAATAACAAATAAAAAGTAATATACTTCTTATTAATTATAAATTTATTCGCCTTTTTGACTAGCTTTTAACATCATCTAACTAAATATAATGTATTTTCTGATTATTCTGGCTTATATTAAGGATCTGCGGTCAGAATTAATCATTGATGGGAAGACTTTTATTTCGTATGAAAGTGGATGAAGAAGAAATTAGTAGGTTATTCTCATCACAAGAAAACGGAAAGTGCCCGTTGTACTTCGGCCGTTTGGTCGTTTAATATGGCGTTCAGGCTGACACATCCTCCCTCGTTTCGGATAAAAATGGGCTGAGTCTTCGTCCATCGTATAATAGACGTCATCAGAATTGTAACTCATTCTTGCAAAAGTCTCAAGTTAATAGTAAGTCGAGAAGACCATTCTGCTCTATCTTATCACTTATATATACTTATTTTAAAAAAACGAAGGTGAATAGGCAAAGTTAGATATAAAATAGTTTATGCAAATAAAAGTTGGATTTCGAGGA